ATCAAGTCGCCGGATTGAAATATGATTGTATTATCATAAATAAAAGAAAATACCAGTTTAATGGTCCGAGTATAAAGAAAACAGGAACAATAAGTTGAGTAATGTTTATTCATAAACATGTTTTCATGTACTTGCCACGATTTTATCTTTCTTGCAATAAATTTTGTAAAAGAGTTTTATGCAATAAATATATGTTATGTTATAATAAAACATCATATTTGAAGCAAACTTGCTTAGCAATTTTGTCAAGAAACTGTTATCATTATTAAATAAGCAAGTAATGTTTTGCAATATTTACCCGAGACTCGTTAATTTTCGGGAGGTGTTTCGCTAGTTTTCATAACTTATTATGATTAATGTTAACGATTTTTTTAATAAATTACATGTACATGTATATAACAATTAGTCTGGTGACGAAGTTGTACTTTAGTAGGCGCAAGTTCGAATCTTGGACAAATCCTGTTTGTAGTTTTCATAAATTGATTTTTATAATATCTTTTAACTATATGAAACATAAGTTGATAAATCGTGTGTTTCATTTCTAGCACTTTTTTATTTCATAATTTTGATAAATGGTCAAGTTTTGCAAAATACAAAAAAAATATCATAAAAGAAAACATAAAAAATCACTTTATCGAACCTACAGTCTTCAATTTGAAACTAACTGAAAATCTAACACCTTGTCATCGAGGCCTGTAAAGCAAATGATATGCTTGTAATTCTACTTGTAATTCTACTTTATTCATATACCGTTGTACCAGAATCCGATAATTACCGACAAATAATTACCGATCATAGAATATTTGCAAAGTGACTATAAAAATATATATTCTTAATTATTGCATAAAACAATGCAATTCTACTGTAAAAGTGGTGTCTGCGTAAAAAAATTATTCTTTTGCGCTATCAAAAAAAAATTTAATTTAGTTGAAATCAAGATTCCCGTCGTTACATACGATATATAGTTAACGTTTAATTGCCTTTCAGTGCGATAAACTATCAACACAAAGATAGTTTATTAGTTTTCTATGCGTATCCAATACGATTCCGGCCCCGATATTTTGTAATTATTGGTATAGAATAACTTCGATTTGCACTTAATTCGCAGCTTCTATACCTTGTTACCTGTATGTCTGTCTTATCAGCTATTTGTTACTATTAATAGATTTGGTAACAATAACATGCAACGTGCAGTCACGTGATTCTTACAAAAGAAACAGGGAGAAATAGTTTATAACTAAATAAAATAATAAATAGAATAGGTGTCATAAGATACAAACAACCAGATAATTTATAGTGTCCTTTCAAATATCATGCATAATTTATTTATCATAAAATAGCAACGCTTGACACTTTGAAATAAGTAAAAGTATCACTAAATTCAAAGACTGGTCCATAGGGATACATCATTAATTCATTTTATAAAAACTGTAATGTTGCTTTTTAAGAGGTCAATATTTGAATATTTCATTTCATTGAGCAACGTTATTGTATGTTTGAATTTTTGAGATTACTGAAAACAATTGTAGTCTTTAATTGTTCAGTAATTGACATGCTTTTAATTACAGATTTTAAGGCCTTCTCCTACCATAGGTATAATATTAAACTGTTACAAATATAGTCGCCGGTTTCTACCGGCGACTCACCACATTGATAATATTCAGTATCTGAAATACAATTAACCATGACAAATTATATATGGATGTTGTTTTCGAGTGTAAGATATATGATCTCACATATCTGTGCACACTTGCCATACATATGTGTTGTATTGTATATTCAGTGTGGCTTATGGAATTTGAATAACAAACTTATCATGATGAGATACATGTAGTTCAAATATTTATTTAACAGATAATAAAGTGCTCTAGAACAATATAGTCATCATATTTAATATCATACTAAATCATTATGAATTTTATCAGCTATTTTGTTCTCAATATTTTATATAAGACAATCCAAACGATACATATCTATTGCTTTTATCAATATTTGAAATACGTATGGAAATAGTGTCCATTATAGACCAAGCCCCTTAAATACTATTTATTTCTTACAAATTGTGTTTCTATTATATGTGTTTTTAACTCCACGAAAATTATATTAAACTTATATTAATTCTCTTCATTTCAAAAACTGAAAATTGGATTGGATGGCATCAATTAATAAGTATAAACATAGTATTCTCTGTTTGTCTGTTTCAAAAACAACTCCTTTTTTATTTAAATCACACAATAATGATGACAAACACGTGCCACATTTTGGGATCGGCGGTGAATACTCTGCATTTTCCAGTCTACCAAAACAACATATGAATGTTCTGAAAACGATTTTATTTTCATATTTATTTATTATGATATTAAAATTTAGAATAAACTATAAAACTATCAAATATATGATAAACGATATGAATCATCAGAGACATAAACAGGTTGTTTACCTGTATATCTTCAACAGATAAAACATATTTACAACAGATATCACATAATTATGTATTCAACATATTTCTCATATATTTAACAACAGTTATCACTTATATACAACAGATATCAAGTATTTAGAACAGATATCACAATAACAACATATCAACATGTAGATAAGCTATTTGTTTAAAAAGTTATTTCAAAAGATATCCTAAAAACCTACCATGTAACGGGCGTTTTTACAATTACATCACTGCAATATATAACTGGAAACATATTTAGTGTAAACCAGGAAACCAATTGATAAGTCATTACTATAAATAAAGCAAAAAGGGTAGGCATCAGTTTTAGAAAAACAATTGTATTACAAAATCATAACAGGGATTATAAAAAAAGGACACGAATGTAGGTAGTTTTTCTTTTATATAAAATATAACATAATTATTACAAGCATTATTAAAAAATTATTATAAATGTAAATAATTTTTTCTTTTAATATCAATAAAACGACACAATGATAACAAGCATTATTAAAAAATAAACATACATGTAAATATAAGTAAATGTTCTTTTGATATATCAATAATACGACATAATCATAACAAGGGTTTAAAGCAATGAACACAAATGTAAGTGAATTTTCTTGTTTATCAATAATACGACATAATCATTACAAGGGTTTAAAAAAATGAACATAAATGAATAAGTGAATTTTGTGTTATATAAATACTACGATAAATGTCCATTTACCAAACACAAATCAAATTTGTAATTTCAAAAAAATCTTATTAAACGTGAAAAACAAATTTCGCGATAATTACAAAATAAAAATTGAAAAGTTTTGGAACCACTTAATGAAAGATACTACAAAATTGTTCGAAAGATACATAATAATTGTTATTGTTTTTATAGGGGGGGGGGGTCGGGGTCAGGGGGTCACACCTTTTATGTTGCAACCGGTCTTCGAAGTACGGTAAATTGCGCTATCGCTTCCTCCGAGCTAGTGCATGTCGCCCAGTTTGAATGTCATAAATTGATTTTAATCATTTCTGAGTTAAAATGTGTTTAGTAGTAGTAGTAGTAGTAGTAGTAGTAGTAGTAGTAGTAGTAGTAGTAGTAGTAGTAGTAGTAGTAGTAGTAGTAGTAGTAGTAGTAGTAGTAGTAGTAGTAGTAGTAGTAGTAGTAGTAGTAGTAGTAGAAGCAGTAGCAGTAGCAGTAGCAGTAGCAGTAGTAGTTGTTTCGATGATATATCAGAATGCTGATTTGATTTAACAATGATGATTTGATTTAACATAAAATGTTAGCATCCCAGTAATAATATTGCCCGGATATACCTAATTAACAATGAAAATGCAATATGTTGTAACTAGATTAAATTAAATTATACATAACTTTACGTAACATAGCTAATGATCCGTAAAACACCTTGAGTGCCGAAATTGAATGAATGCCCAATTTAGTGTGTAGTGATAAAATGCCTGTATACAATGTATGTGAACACAAGTATTTCCGCAACTTTAGTTCACTTTAAAATTAGGTAAATTTGTGGACTAGTACATTTACCGTAAAACGGTTTGAACAATATGATAAAGTGGGTTTGACCTCAACTTATCAGTAAATGATTAGACATTAAACAAACATGTTTTAACTATTTAAATAAATGAAAAATTATATTTGTATGCAAATCAGACATATTTCATACCCCAAATTATTGAAGGTTTATTTTAAGAATGTACTCAATTTACTCACTATCATTTCTATTAGAAATGTTATTTTCATACATTAACATGTGAGATAACAGATGCCTCAAGACCTTAATATGTATTGGTTAAGGCCTCAACAGACGGTAGGATATTGCAATACAACACCAATTAAAACTATGACGTACAAGCAAATCTTTATGTTTGAAAGCTATTATTTTTGGAATTCATAAAACTTAAAACTAGATTTACTAGATTGGACATGTTCTATCGGTTAATACTTGTACAGACCTCCCATGATGACAGATGATATATTTCCCAATTATCCCCTGATAATGTGTTTAATGAATGAAAATGAATGAAATTTTTGAACAATTAGGACTAAAATGTAAACAATGTAGTAAGATGGGGTAAAAATGATGTTGAAAAAAACTCTTCAGGAGACCAAAAGTTGTAGGATGTTCGAGTCCCAAATTATATAGAAAATGATAATGTCACGGTATTGAACTGTTCACTATTAAGGGGAGGTAGCTTGTAAGCGGCTGGATAGCTCAGTCAGTAGAGCCGCAGTACGGTATTCCGGGTTTTCCAGGTTGGAGTCCCGGTCAGGCTGCACATAAATCTCTCCCTGTGACAATTATAGACTTTCTTATAAAAAGCGAGTAGTTTCAATCATTAGTCATGGAGAAAAAATATTTGAGAGAGTAAAGTATGTAAGGGATAAGTGGGGAGGGAACTGTTTGTTTTTTGTTGTTGTTTTTTTTTTTTTGGGGGGGGGGGGACCTGATGATTCATACAATGCAGAATTACAGTCTGAAGGCAAGTGTTGTATTGCTTTGAGAATTGTACATCATAATATCTAATTACTGTTGTACAACTAAATCCTACAGTCTGTTGAGGCCTTTCTTTGCATACTTAGAGTCGTCCTGTAAATCATTATTTAGCTAGACTGCTTATACATAAAACGTTCTTTTTGTCATTCAATTTTGCAATTTTTTGTTAGATTTAGTATAAATATAATGTAGGGTGAAGGTTTTATCAGCCAGCATAAATTTAAAAATGCTTTAGAATGCCTAGAAAATTAGGTTCGACATATTTTGGCTATAACAAACTTGTAAGTCAGATATACTAGGCGTATTGACATCGCTTTTCATTAAGCATTAACACACGAATACTATAAGTAATTTCATAAACCGTTTTCATGGTTATTGAGATGAAATGTGTTATTTGAATAACAGAAACTGTAGTGTTTACTTCATTTTTTTCAATTATTTTAATTACGTTAATGGACATGTTTGTATACGAGTCCATTTAAAGCTGAACACAAAACATACATCTTTTATCCAATAAAATATCAAATCTGATTCACAGCAAAAAGTATTCTTTTAATTTTTTAAGTTCTTTGAATGGTATTTATTTACGGTTTAATCTCTTAGTTTGTTGATACTAATGATATTACTGGCCATGATGATACCATCCTGGCGTCTTTATTTCAGGTAAAAAAAAAGGTTATTTGTCATACTGGTTGTGTTAGCAGCATGCCTTATACTTGTACTGATACCTTTAGTAGTGAAACGGTTTCTGCCAAGACAAACTGAAACGATGTTTTGTTTCGACACCGAGAACATTGACAATAAAACAGGAAATTCTGAATGGACTGAACATCTCAAATCCAAGATAGGGGAGACTGAAATTGACGGGTCTTATTGCGTTGAAGCTAGTAAGGCGATAGATGCTATTGTGTCAAAGGTAATCAGCGTATAAAAGTGTTACTGTTTTTCTTTTGTTTTTTTCTTTTATTAATTTCTTTTCTTTTTTGTTTCCTTTTTATATCATAAAATTTGCTCTATAATAATAATTAGGGGCGTCCGTGGCCGAGTGATTAAGATCGTTGACTTCAAACCACTTGCCCCTCACCTCTGTGGGTTCGAATCCCGACAGGGACTTTGTATTCTTTCATGTGAGGAAGCTATCCAGCTAGCTTACGGAACGTCGGTGGTTCTACTCAGGTACCCGTTCGTGCCTGAAATAAAGCACGGAAGGGCACCTGAGGTCTTCCTCCACCAGTAAAGCTGGAACGTCGCGATATGACCTATACTGTGTCGGGCGACGTAAAACCCAAAACAAACAAAACTATAAAATAAATTGAACTTTTCCGAAAGAACATTTATATATCGTAACATTAACACTTTGTATCTTTCTATATATTTTCTAGCTTTTTAAAATAGTTAAAGTAATAGATCTGAATTATCTTATTGAGCATTATCAAGTTATTAACAGGTCTTTAACATTGTGAGCGTTTTCTATCTACTTTAATCAATGATGTTTTGTAGATGACTCAAGCAAGATACGACAAAGATGCAAACCCTGGTATATTACATTTTATTTTATACTTAACATATAATATTGAAAACATAAATTATAAATTAAATGCGTTATTTTCATTTTCCGTATTTTTTCTTGTGTTTAGGCGGACTTCTGTGTTCAAAATTTTTATCCAGCTTATACACAACAATTAAGGGGAAGTCTTTCAAATTTTAATGTTAAAAAAGAGAAAAAAATAAACAGAAAATTCAAGTTTTTTTCTATAAGTACAGGACTTATTTTCATCTTGTTAGAATTCCTGAGATCACACAGATTATTTAGTATATCATCATATAATATTCATTTGTGAATTTTAATTTTCTCACAATGAGATGATACTCAATCATGTCTGTTATAACAACTTACATTGCACACAGCCAAGGTTATGCCACTATTTTTGAAGCTTTTAGTTTTCTTTTATTGACCTTTACATTTTTGTCAAGTTGCTATGTTAAAATGTTTAAGTTCATTTGATTTGTGTATCGTTTTAAATGTGCAAATGATATAGTTCATACCCAATGGCAAAAATTATCATTATCATTTTTATAATTATTATTATTATTATTATTTCAGAACATAACTTATCAAATCTAACCATGTTCAACTGTGAAATTGAGGAAAGAAACATATCAAAAATACAGCTTAAGTTCAAAGGAGCCAGATTAATGTCAGGTAAAACTGTTTACATATTTAACATTTCCACGTCTGAATTATCAGTATATCAATATTTTGACATATTTTTTTGGCTTAGTAAAAGTTATAAGTTTACATAAATCCAGCTGTACGCGAATATATATGATAACCAATCTTTAACACGTGCCAAATAAGCTTTCTATGACCTATATAACGAATTAGAAATAAAAGCTACAACATAACTGCATGCTTTGATAAAAATATCATTTGATATAGTTCATTAATAACAGGAGCCGTATAAATAAGTTTACATATTGTCGGAACCCATGGTACACATTTCGTTTATTATCGCCGTTCCTGAACGGCAATATATACACGAAACAAGATTTTAACAATTCTACAAGTACACTCCCTGCCTTTAGCCAATCAAAGCGAATAATTCAGTATCACATGATAACAAAATGGACGTAAAAAACTACAATGAGGGATGTTTAAATGGACTCGCCAAACCGCCATTTTTGTCGGGTTACTTCTTCCTACAACTGAAAAATACCATTATCAATGTACGAACTCAGTACCAGTCTTTAGTCTCTTGCAGGATAAACACAGCAAATTGCAATATGTTTTTGCTACAAAAAAATCGCAAAGCAGTGGACGGAGTATAGAACATAAATTCCATTTATAGAATGTTCACAGACATCATTTTAAATGTTTAGCAAGAAACTGTGAATTACGCAAGAAGCTTATTAATTTTGCCGATTGATGCACTGATTAAGTAGCGCATGTAGTCTAACTAACTGTACTACGCGTTTAGTTATTGCAATATTTGTCTTATGGGCAATATCTCCAACATTCTGACCCAGAACTAAAACAAATATGTTAGAATCTAACTGAGCAATCAAGAACTTTGGTTGGCTTTATGTGCTGACCACACACAATAAATGTATTTGGCAAGAAATGAAATATTATTTCTATATTCATTGCTGAACAACGATTCTAATCATTTTTGGAAATGCTTGATTTTAGTAATTTAAATACATGTATAGAGAGCGGAGCAGGAGAATAGAGGTATCGAGAAGTTTCCTTATTGTTTACGTATTTTTTGTCTGCTAATTTCACTGCCCACTCTAAGTCTTTCGATTTAACAATTATTATCTAATACTAACATAATTGTTTAACCTTTAGAAAAACTGAAGGCTGCTTTATATTTTAAGCAGGAAAACAACCATTGCATTTTTCACATCACCATAGATACTAGTATATTCTTTACTATTCCAGGTGAAAGCTCAAAGATATTCTGGAAGTCAGATTTTAGGTTCGGCAGAGATGTACAATATCTTGACGAAGAAGGGGCGATTTCTATCAAGAAATCCGGTCATTACTTTATTAATGTACAGCTTACAATCAGAATGAATGTCGGAAGTTTTTCTGAGAATGTGGACAAATTTGTGAAACTTCAGGTTATTCATGTCCCTGTGAAACAAAGAAGTGAGCTCATTATTGTTGAGAATATCCATTCCGTGTGTCAAATACCTGATGAAGAAAGTGAACAATCAATCAACGTTGGTGCATCCTTTAAGCTGAAGGAAAATGAAAAGATTTATGTGGCCTTTTCACATCCGAATTTACTTTCAATGGGAAATGGGAGTGATCATTTTAGTATTCATGAAATATAAAAGCAGTATTTTAAAATCTTTCAATAGATTGACAACTTAAATGGCAGCTAACATTATGCACATTTTTTAATGTGTTGTAAAATTTGATTCTAACTAACAACTGCTTATAGAATAGAATAGAATAAAATAGAATAGAATAACTATTTTTTCAATCAAGGGTCATATTAAATGACATGTAAATCACAATAATGATAATGAGATCAATGATCAAATAAAGACGTTATAGAAACAAAACTTGATTTGTATTATAGTTACAACAATGAACTTAAAGAAAAACAAAACACAAAAACAAAATAAATGTCAGAACTTCGCTAACTAGACTTATCTTTACTATTAAACATAATAATAATAATTATATATATATATACATGTATATATAATTCATTGGTGTGAACGGGGCCTCGTATAAGGTTCGAAATCAGATCACGTGCAAATCTACGAATGTTGTGTATGCAGTTTATTGTAAGCGTTGCGAACGTTATATTTATGTTGGAGAAACAGGGGATACGTTGTACCAAAGGCACCTTCTTAATTTATCCAGAATACGAACCAAATACAACGATCCGTTAGCGGCGCATTTTTATACGAACGACCACACAGTAAATGATTTTTCAATAATGGGGCTGGAAAAGCTATACGGGAATGAACAATACAGAAAAAACAATAGAAAATTTGTGGAAAAATAAATTAAGAACCTATAGACCGTATGGAGTTAATACAAAAGAATAACGCGGCAGACGGCAACCAACGCCACGGCGGGCGTCGTTCATTGACGTTACGTCACTTCCATTGTTTTGTTTGATATATTTAAAATTAGCATTTTTGCTTATATACGGCAAGTTAGAGATTTTACTTATATATAAATATATATATAAATTGATAATGACATTATGTTTTTAGTATTCTTTCGAATAACATTTAAGTTACACAAAAAATTGTCTATACCTGTAGTGTAACTACACTGTACAATACATATGTTCCTCAGAAACACAAATGAATTTGCTTATTTCAGACATTTTTTCAAAGTTTAAATTCTCATCTTTTATTTCATTATATAAACTTCTTGGTTATACATGTATAACCATTACATAATATTGCATAATATTTCTAAGGAAGTGTATCTGTAATCATAAGGAATCTTCATCAACATTGTTACTAAGAAATAAGGGATTAAATCTTAACTTAGATTTAAGTTTATGTAAAAACTTTGTGATATTGAATATATGTTGTATCCTTATCATTCACTAGTTTACTGTTGATTATTATACATTTACTTACTTTGATTGTATTAAGAAACTTTGTAGAACTTGTTAATACATGCCTTTACATTTACTTACAATGACCTTAGAATCTTTAATATAGTCATATACATTATATAGATACACATTGTGAGATACAACTTGTTGATTATGCGTTTGCATTATGTCTGTAAATATGTTCAAGTTCATTGTAGTATTATAATTATTTTTTTTTTCATTTCTTTGTAGAACTTTGTTTTTAATATCATCCTTTGTAGACAATGTTAACATTGTGTCATGTTAAAGTTTTCTTTGTATAATTATCTATTATAAATATATATAGTTGTGTAAGAATATGTTAAGTATGTCGGGTTCATAACAAGTAAAAATAAAATCTATGGAACAGAATTAAAGCATTTATTCTATCTTGCTTGATGGCATTGGAACTTGCATTATGCTTAATTCCATCTTGCTTGATGACATTGGAACTTGCATTATGCTTGATTCCATCTTGCTTGATGACATTAGAACTTGCATTATGCTAGATACCATCTTGCTTTATGATATTTAAACTTTGCATTATGCTGGATTCCATTTTTCATTATTTCGTAGCGACCAATTCTTTCATTGAGTGATAACTATTAAACTGGAACAAGCCATTTGGAATACTAAAATGTTATCGTCATATACCTTTATGTATAAGCTACCTTTCTTCATGTTCTATACAAACCATTTAAGGTTTAGTTTTTTTGTATTACTTTTATGTAGAAGTCATTTAAAATTGACTATTTTTTGTTCCCTGGTGGATTTTGTTAAAATGTGACTTATTTGATTTATAGCTCGCATGGCGATATTACTATTAGCTTTTGCTTATATCCATTATTGCTTAATAAAGCTCGGTGTCTGAGGCTTTGTGGATTATGTTTGATCATCTTACATTATGATAAACAATTTAAACTATGTCTAGCGATTTGTGAACTGTTAAGGGGCGAGAACTCTGTTATCGATATCAACGGAATTTTTCCACGATTCGCCTATCATCGGAATTTTCCGTATAGATACTGCGTACATGTATATATAAATACGTACTAAGCGCTTAATACATAAATTGCAGTTGAAAGAATATAAATACAAGTAGTAAAGGATTATGCAATATAATTTTATATATGTATACAGTCTAATAGAAAAAATATGCTCGTAAACAGTTATTCAATGGGGCAGTTATACGTACAGTGGCGGATTCAGGCCCTGGCTTAAGGGCTGCACCTACCCCCAAATATACGTTCATGAGCTGGGATGGAATATATACGTGTCAGTTTCATGCAATAGTCTTCTTAGTGTACTCCCTTACCGAAACATATAATGCTGTCATCCAGTTGTTAAGCACCTGCCTAGGTGCTGCGAAGGTCTTTATCTAATGACTTGGACATTAAAAAGCAAACATTATTGGCCTTTTAACTTAATAAATGTCACTAATAGTGGCGAATAGGTATGTAACACATTAAAATATACATGTATAATAAGGAAAGAAGGAAGTTGTTTGTTTTTGTAACATATATATGTGCTTAGTCAATTACAATCGAGCCGCGTCATGACAAAACCAACATAATGGGTTTGCGATCAGCATGGATCCAGACCAGCCTGCACGTCCGCGCGATCTATTCAGGATCCATGCTGTTCGCTATCAGTTTCTCTACTTGTAAAAGAGTTGGAAAGCGAACAGCGTGGATCCTGATCAGACTGCGCGGACGCGCAGGCTGGTCTGGATCCATGCTGGTCGCAAACCCATTATGTTGGTTTTGTCGTGACGTGGCTCAAATGTTGGGCATATGTGTGTCTGATTATAGATCAGACATCCCGCACACACCACCACATTCACATACATTTGTGCTTAATGATATACTATGCACATCTTTCAGTAACATATTTTTATCACAGAAATTTATTGAAATCTATAAAATTCTCACTAAATATGTTTTATTTAAATAAAAACACATACACATGATGTATAGGAATCTGCTTTCCTTATTACGGGTCAAGTAAAGTTGTGCCTGTCTTTAAAAGAAACTTCCATATATTTTTTTGTAATAACACTATATGTATATTCATACTGCCCACTTACAGTGTAAAGGATTTAAAGCACAATATTTGTGTGAAGCCAAATTATATTTATTTTATTTTACAGAAAAAAAATCAAGTATGTACTGTACTAGGTCGTGGCCACGAGTTACTGATACTTGGCCACGAGATAGTTAAGTCGTGGGAACGAGATACTATATCGTAGCCACGAGATACTATGTCACGGCCACGAGCTACTAAGTCGTTTAAGTCGTGGGAACGAGATAACTAAGTCGTGCAGACGAGATAATTAAATCAGATTACACCATGATTTTTTAAACTTAGAAAATTTTTGTTTAAAGATTTACGTGCAACATTAATCTTTGAAAATACTGAAGTGTTCACTTTGAACTTGATACATATCTTTAGGATCATAAGGCCCATAAATCAGACATTAATTTGACTAAGTTATAGCCCTTTGTTGGGACAATTCTATGATAGAATTGGTCATTTTGTACGTACAACGGCCTGTTTAAAAAGTTTATACCATCACTTGAGAGGGACTTAGTCCTGGTTTATTTTATTAGGTAGGGACATTGCCCATGGACAGTAGATACCCCATAAGGATGTTTGAGGTCACGGGTCAGATAAACATGACACTTCATGTAAATTCCTTGTCTGATGAATGATATAAATGATATAACCTAAAAAGATCAGTAGATGACACCTAATAATTTTTGGTCAATTTGGTCAGAAATCAGGGTCACAATGACGCTAAATCTTTGACCAATCAATAACTTGTATAAATGGCACTTTTACGGACAGGAGAAGTAGGATCCTCGTTAGGAAAATTCATATAAATAGTGTAATTTGATTGGTTATTTATCTCGTTCGCAAGACTTAACTTTCTCGTGGCCACGACTAAACTTTCTCGTGACCACGACATAGTAACTTGTTCCAACGACTTATTTATCTCGTGGCCACGACTTAGTAACTCGTGGCCACGACTTAGTCATATCGTTCCCACGACTTAATTATCTCGTGGCCACGACTTAGTAACTCGCTCGTTCCCACGACTTAACTATCTCGTGGCCACGACTTAGTAACCCGTGGCCACGACACCGTCTCTCGTGCGCACGAGATAAATAAAAACACACATGTCACCTTTGTGCCACCGTAAGTTTGAGCATAATATATCTTAAAATTCAATTTCATTATTGCTCATACGACTATCACACACGCTCAAAAAAATGTAAACAATTGTATAAGAGGTGAGTTGCCACTTGTAGGATGAGTTACTAGAGACATCTATAACATTTTTTCCACATGCTGGCGGAATATTCAAAAACACGCACTTTTCGTCTGTCATCGTGTTCTCTTGTTTTCCTTTACATGTCAGTCCCCAACTATACGTCCCTGTATAAAGGGGACGTAACTTTGTTTTACTCCATGTGCCAAAATACGGGATCATCCGGAAAATAACGGGATGTACCGACAAAGCGACACCTGCTGTCATAATATGAACACAAATTATTGCAACTCACATTATGCTTACTGCCAACTGCTTAGTGCGTACTGTCACATGCGACTATAATAGAGATATCGTTGTCATCTTCGTTGTCGATGCGCAGTGATCATGTATTGCATTATATTTGTAATCAGTGAATATATTGAAGCATATGAATGCTAAGACACATCAAATTCGCCAATTATTGATCAAAATTAATAATTTATTGTGACATAATGTCGACAATATAAGTGGCAGATTTAAAGCAAAATTAAAGGTACTGACAGAAACTTACCACGTTACATATAGTTATATCAAGAACAAGCAAAGAATGTTATCTTAAACACCAAACATAATACGTTGTCCTTTATAAAAGATGCAATTAAACATATAGCATTTTAAAATATGTCAGTTTGATGGTTTAGTAGGGAACACATAAGGTTGCAATTACATGAAAGTGCATTCAGTAATCATAAGGCATGATTGAATTCAGCAAAACGCAGGTTTCCATTGTCATAAAGAAGTATAGAAGCAAGCATAATGTAAGTCCCGATATCATAAAGCAAG